AGAAGAATATGCACTTCTTAGCAGAAGTAGCTCGCTAATGACATTCATTAGGGCGATAGAGAGGCTGCATAGTTGCTCGCATTAAATTTGATAGAACCGATACAAAAGTGACGAGCAGTGACTGAGTCCAACTCTTCTTTTATCACACCAATTCTTCAAACCTTTCTCATGAGATAGTTAACTCTAACATGCCCGAGCTCGATTCCCGTTTCGGCTGTGAATGAAACTCAGGCGAGATCAAACCTGCAGTTCACTCTGAATAAGAATGCTTTTTTGGAAGCAAGACTAAGGTTTTTTAGCTCAATTGCATTTTGAGTAAAAGTGTGGGCTGAAGGGATTCGAAGTTAGGTCCCACCAGAAGACGAAGAGTTGCATTCTTCGTGGTCACCTGTCAATTGGCTTTACTGACACAGTCTTTTTGACGCTATTTCTGAGGTAATCTCCTTTGAGTCGGGTGTAACCGTCACTTAACGCACATCATTAGAACAGGGTAACATTCTTAAAACAGCATTTAATATAACGAGAAAAAAAATTCATACTCTTTTGACAATTTGCAATAACTCTAAGGGAAATCTTCTTACTTTGTGCATTTTAGATGCGAAGAAAGGTTATGTTTCGAGGGGTCTCTTGTTTCATGATTGTTGTGTCTACTTCCATTTTGAGTTAAAGTGTGTGCTGAAGTGATTCGAAGTTAGGTCCCACCAGAAGACGACGGCGGATTCCTTTTGACCAGCTGTCAATTAACCTTACTGTAAGATTCATGCTGACGCTGTTAACGAGGCAATCTCTTTTGATTCCGGTAAAAAGGTGCCAAGCTTTTGTCCGTCATATGACGAACATGATCAGAGAGAAGTATCATCATGACAATCAAAATCAAGCAAGCTCTACGAAATGTGGAGTTTTCTTAACTCGCTAGCTCGGATTTTGTTGTGACGATGATACCTCGCTCTGATGATGTTCGTCATGTGACGGACGAAAGCTTAGCCCCTTTTAACCGGAATCGAAGGAGATTGCCTCGGAAACAGCGTCAGCATGAATGTTCCAGTAAAGCCAATCTGCCGTCGTTTTCTGGTGGAATCGACCTTCGCATTTCTTCACCAAACACTTTCACTCGAAATGGAAGTAAGCACAACAACTCCAGTCCAGACCCTACTTTTTTCACTCATTGCTTATGCATCCGTTTAGAGCATCCTTCAGCCTGAGTCTAAGCCCATCAATCAGATCTTTCGATTCTTTAATTTATCTTCAGCAGCCTGTCTAATGAGGAATTCGACAGAGAGACTTAAATCTAGGCTGAAGGATGCCATAAAGAGATGCGTAAGTAATGGGGGAATCGAAAGTGGAAGGACATTTTAGGGCATCCACGGCTTACGGCTATCCAAGAATGCACAAGTAGAGGATTCCTTTTAGATTGATTGCATATAGTAAGGGAAATGTGGTACATTAAAGTCTAATTTTTTATGTAGACAATTAAGAAAAGTAACCGAAATTTGGACTAATTTACGTAACACCTCATAAACATTTTTTAAACGAATATATCAGCAGATACTTTTAAAGAAATTATATTAGCAAGTTTTTACTTAATATCTGTGCACAACAACATCTCGATTGAGGGCAAAACTCAGGTTCTAGTGCTTAACCCGAAGGAGTATTTAGTGATTTACGAAAGCCATATTTCTAAGACATATTAAGTCTATCGATGAGTGGTGCTTACGTCACCTTATTTTTCGAATAAATTATTGTTTTCGTGACTACCAGTAAATCAGTAGTATGAGATGTATTTACCCAATTTCGTGTATGGTGATGAAGGACTGGTAGAAGAAGAATTTTCCCACAATCATATGAGTTGAGCTGACGTTTCCATACATTTTCACATAGCCTTGCTTTCCCAAAAGTTGTTTTCATCCAAGCACCAGTGGACTGCAGTTTCAACATCGCATCGGTCTTGTCAACACCCTCAGCGGGAGTCGAACCGCGACAGTGCAAGATGGTAGCTTGACACGCTACCACTCGGCTACCCTGCCACTAGTGCCTTTTGGGTCACAGGTCAAATGTGAATTTTCAAGGAAGGAAAGTCCTTTTTGTCATATCATATTCTTTTGGTGGACTTGTCGATGAAGCAAACGTATATCTGCTATAACAATCGACTACTTACTTTATTTTTCGAATTAAGTATTGTTCTTTGTGACTAACAGTAAACTTTTGGGAGAGCAAGGCTATGTAAAATTTAATGGAAACGTCAGCTCAACTCATGTCATTGTGGGAAAAATCTTCTTCTACCAGACTTTCATCACCTTAAACGAAATTGGGTGAATAAATCTCATATTACGCTACCTTTGACGCTAAATTTTTTGACCAGATGCAAGGACGTGTGATGTGATATTGCTTGGATCAAATTTTGGCGAATAACTACATGGCAAAATATGATGACAACTGAATGAAAGAGGTAATACCCACTCATAAATTGCTTGTTAACTGTTCCGATGACTATTTTGTCCTTTTTCAGCATGGTTCTTCTTCAAGAATTTCTGGCGATTTCGAAAGACGCATTAAAATTGTTTTAATGAGTCATGTAAACTTGGTTGTTATGCCATTAAATGATCCTACGAAGATTAAGTATGATCTCCTGACAACTTAAATTTTACCTCCAACAGCAAACCATACCAAATAGGCATAAAAACCACCTTATTTCGGCTGTGGCCTCTTCTGGCGAGAACGAAATTCCACTTTTGATGATATTATTAGCGACTCTTCGACGGGCTTGGTCTTAATTGTCTCGAAATCGGATGCTCCAGCCAAAGTATGATCATAAATATTAGCAGTTGGCCACTGGTCACTGGGCAAAACTATTAAGAAGTACCTAGACTTTTCCTCTAAAATATGTAATCTGATGTAATAACATCGAAAATATTTCGTCACACATTCATGATGGAGACCGAGTTACCATGCGACCACATACCATATTAGGCCGTCAAAGCATAAGCCGGCCCAACCTACCGTCCGTGATAAGTAGATTCATTTGTCGCGCTTCATCCAGCCGAACACAGAGTGAGAGATTCATGGTGTCGTAGCCAAGGGACAGTTTGATCTCTCCAGCTTTCTGCTCAAAGTCTTGGTTTGGAAAAGTCTCCAGAGACCCACCAGTGAGAACACTTGGTTCCTGAGGTAAGTACGTGAAGAAGACAATGAAGAAGATAATGAAGAAAATTATTACAAAATGAGTTGTTGTGTAGACCTTCAGACTCGTAGTAAAGCTTTATTAAGAGCCTGATTCAGCTTACAGTGCTTTGGGTCGCGATTTGGGTAATGATTACGGAGTTTGTCTTACAATAAAGTGAATAGGTCTTTTGATGCTATTGCATTTCAAATAGTTTTGATGCTCGAAAGCTCTTCTAGTCCTGGCTGAATTACGGGTTTGGCCTCGCATATGTTTCGTCAATAGCTCTAAAGCTATTCCAAACCAAGCCATGCATGTGAAGTGACGATACGTTACAACCACTCCGAAGTCACGTGAACCAATGATTTACATCTCACATGTGATTTTAAAGGCAAGTCATACCTCTCCGTTATCAAGTTTTTAAAATAATAAGTTTATTCATTAGGCATTCCTGCAAATACAGTAGTAATTGAAGATGCTACTCATATTCGCCACAAGTAGGCTTGATAACTATTTGTATTTCTTAAATAAACGTCTCCAAGGGAAAGATATATGAGATCCAATAGTTACATGAGTCCTGCACAGAGGATTTTAAGAAAAACTTCACTCTCGAAACTTTAAACAATCTGGATAGCCTAAGTTCAAAACGTATTCATCCTAAATAAAGGAATTATTAAGGCAGATTCATCGCAAATTTTTGTTGCCGGATCTCATTTTCACCGGGTCCCAGTTGAGACTTAGGCCTCACCAATGTTTACTCTTGTGATGATGTTGACAACTACTGCG